AGGTTGCCCCGAGAAGCTGTGGCTGCCCCATCCCTGGAGGGGTTCAAGGGCAGGTTGGAGGGGGCTTGGAGCAACCTGGTGTGGTGGGAGGTGTCCCTGCCCAGGGCAGGGGGTGGCACTGGGTGGTCTTTAAGGTCCCTTCCAACCCAAACCATTCTGTGAGTCTGTGATTCTCTTGCCCCGGTGCCCCTGGTGCTGGAGCCCTGAGCCCTTCCCTCTTGTGATTCTCTGAACTCCTTGTCCCGATGCCGGAGCCCTGAGCCCTTCCCTTCCTCCCGAAGCCCCAGCGCTCGCAGGGTCCCACACTGACACGGCTTCTGCTGGGGAATGGGCCAGGGGACAGTCCTTGTGTACTTTATATTGGTATTGGGATCAATAGTAGTTCTCCTGGGTGAGGAGGGGTCATTAGGTGAGAGAATAATTATCTAAACGATAATAAATTGTTGTGGATTTCTCAGACCATGACAGAAATCCCTGCAGGAACAGGATCCTTCTCTTGGCCTCTTGGAGCTTCTTCCCCCGCGTTGAGGGCGCTGCTTGGCCCTTTATCTCTTAAATTGTGTGACCCCAGCTTATGGGGAGAGGTGAGGCTTTGGGACGCGATGGGTCGTTGTCCCCTCTGCCTCTCCCGCTGCCGTCGCAGCAGCTTGTTGTGCCACGTTCCCCGCTCTGTCTCTGTCTGGGGCAGACACCACGACATGTGCTGGGCTGCACCATCTGCCTTGTTCCGCCTGGGCGCCTTTTTGGCCTCCTTGGTGGTTAACAGAAATAGATTTTAATTAAAAGCTCATTATCGAGTTGTCGTGTAGCATTAGTAAATAAAAATAACTTTTACAGCCCTGTCTTGTGGCTCCGTTAGTGGCAATTGAAAGCGTTTGACATCACTTTATTTTTAAAAAAAAGGAAGAATATTGCATATTTGATTCCCCGTTTGCTCCAAATGGGCTTTAAATCCAAATAAATGGTTGTCTGTGGCACTGCTGTTATCATTCAAGTCCAGAAGGAGAAATAAATGCGGTCGACAGTCTAAAAGTTATCTCTGTTTCAGTTGTAAGCTGGTGTGGGTGGTTTGTTTGGGCATCTCCCGGTGGGGTGAGGGACAGATAGAGCCTGCCCAGGTTTTTGTAGTGGAGGGATGCTCTGCTCAGCCCCTGCCCTCTCCCATCTGCCACCTCCTTCCCTCTTTCAGTCTGGGGGTGTCACATCCTCTTGTCGAAGCTTTCTTCTCAATGGAAATGAAATTAAATCTTCCACAGGGTGGAAGCTGAGCTCCTGGGGCTCGTGGTCTTTGAGGCTGCCGTGCCATCGCAGCCGAGGCTCTGCGCCCTCTTCCCATCCCTAGCACAGAGCTAACACCTCATAAAACGACCTGCTGAGGGGAAAAGCCATTTTCTGCATTGTTTAAGGATAAATCAGTGGGGTAGTAGATGTTAGTCATTGCTTCGAGGCCGTGTGGGGTGCGGAGGGAGAGCCCTGCGATGGGTTTGGGTGCCCAGGCTGAGCTGGTGAGCACTGCTTTCGTCTCCTCCACTCACTTGTTTGTGCCTTTGTTCCCCAGCCTGACCCCAGGGACGGCTCCAGCTCCGGTGGTTTGTGTTTGTGACAACAAGGAGGCCAGGTCTCTGTCCCCAGACAGCCACATTTTGTCCCTTGGAGTTTGGGCACCTCCCTGTTGCCTGTGGAGAGCTTCTCGCGTGAGGAACCTTAATCTTAAATGGTTAAAAAAAATGTCCTTTCCCCCCGGCTTTTTCCACGTAGCTGGAGAAAATTCAGTTTGACCCCATTGGAAGAAAAGCATCACCCTGTGCCAGCGGGTTTTGGGAATCGCTTTTCTCGGCAGAGACCCCCTGCTCAGCTCTCTCCGTGCAGGATGCTCGCACCCTCTGTGCCCATTTTTTTGTAGCACTTGCCCTCCCTCCCTGTCACCCCACGACGAGGGGCATCTCATCCCCCTTCCGCTCGGTTTGGCGGCCGCTTTATTGACTCGTTAGCTGAGGAGCGGCGGGGAAACCTGACAGGAAGGTTCTGCGCCGAAATAAATTGTCCAGTTGCCTGCTAGTTGGAAATGACTCTCGGTGCGGGTTAATAAATAATGCAAACCCTGTTAAATAGATGCCAAATGCAACGTCTCCGCTGGAGAAAAAGATGATGCCAATAACCCAAAGTGGAAGCGCTCTATTCTAGCCACCGGCTGCTGAGTTCTGAGTGTTTAGTGCTGTTTACTTAAAATGCTCTCGCTGATAAATGGTGAGGGCTCCGTACTTAGTAAAGAACATAAATTCCAGCTCTGCAGAGTAACGGCCTGGCGGCGCGTGGCCTCTTCATAAAGCAGCTGGGCCACGTATTCCTTCACACCGCGGCGTCTCACCACCCCATGGTGTGAGAGGTGACGGTGGTCGGGGACGCGGGGGTGACGCAGCCTCCTCCGTCAGGTTGAGGTTATCGTGGCGGAGCTTTTTATTGGGAGATGGAGCTTTATTTCAGCATTGCGCCAGCCTCTCTGGCATATGGCTGAGAAGGGGATTTTTTTTTTATTATTATTATTATATATTTTTTTTCCTGCTCCAAGCCACTTTTGTTATGTTCTCGGGAGCTGGTAGCAGCTTGCAAAATCCTCTTTGTGCTTCAGGTGTCGCTTTAGCGCGGAGCAGGGGAACGGCATTACGGGCAGAGGAGGGGATGGGGAGCTGCCAGCCCCTCCTGGCTCTCTTGGAGCTCTTTTCATCTCCCCATGCCCGGGGGGGAGACTTTTTTGGTGTGTTTTATGGCCAGGAAATGTAGCAGTTAACGATAGGAGGCCTATCAAGGAAGGGGAAGGAGGGCTGAGGTCCTGAAGGTCCGTAAAACAGTTGGAGTTCAGCTGTCAAAAGATGCCACTTGAATGCAGATCGTTATTTTAAGTACCGAGGTGTGGACCAAAATCATGTCTGTTGAAATAAAGGTGGCTGCCGTTCCGTTTATATATTTAATGGAGGTAATTCAGCGCAGTCGGGGAGGATGTCTCTGCGAGGTTATGGTTGGAGACTTTAGCACCACCGTGCAGCCAGGAATGTTAAATATCCATTTCTGCCATATTTCCTGCGTGCGGTGACAGAGCAGCGGTGTAAAATCTAGCAGCAGAAGCCATCACTTAGAATATTCCCATCACCAAATTAAAATTGGGGAGGTCGGGAGGGGGGGGGAGAAAACCACACAAAGCTCTTGCTTTAATGCTGGAGCAGGAGCCTGTCCTGGGAAAGATTTGGTGCAGGGCACCCATTGCTCCTCCGGAGGCTGAAATGTGGTCTTTGCAGAAAGAAAGGAAAAAAAAAAAAAAAAAGCCAATAATGCTTTACGCAAAGCAGTTTAATTCCAGTTAAGAAATAGCCCTTTGATGGCAGCCTGTGTTATGTGCCTACAGAAATGGTACAAAATAGCTGTTTAAATGCGTCTCGCTCTGTTTTGTCTAAACCCTCGAATTAACCTCCCTCGTAAAATAATAGGCAGGAAAAAGATCTCCCGCAATCCGAGCCATCCTGCCCCGAGCTGGAGCTGGTCACGGGGACTGGAGGCTAGCTGGGATGTGTGGAATTAGGGTCGGATGTGTGGAATTAGGGTCGGATAATCACAACTTGCTGCAAAACTTGCTCCTCCTGGTGTTTTTGCCCTCGAGGTGTTGACAGGAACGGCGGAGCTGTCCGGGGGTGGTGTTTTTTTGGAGGGTAGCGTCGGCTTCGCTCTATTCCGGGATTGTCAGCCTGTGCCTGTGTGTGCCCCGGGAGGGGGAGGAAAAATAGGGATATAGTGGTTTAATCAAACGGGAAGAAGCTGGTCCTCGTTGGCTTTGCCCACAAGGCGGCAGTGGGTGACAGCGGCAGCGGCATCGTCACCGCAGCAGCGGTCCCCGCCGCGCCGGAGCATTAATATTGATGCCGTCCAGGTGGCACCAAGATTGAGTTGTAGTGACAAGAGAGTGTGCCGAGATCCTTTTGCCCTGGGGCTTCAGAGTAATGGCCATATGTCTCGGTCCAGCAATTGTTTCCACCGTGCAGATGGAAGACCGAAGTGGCTTTGGCATATTAGATTCATCTGGTTTATGTCCCTCTTCACCTTTCTGCCTCCCAACACCTTCTGTTTTTATGGGCAAACTTCAGGAACAACAGAGATGCGGCTACAAGATTGCTCGAAGGACACAGTCTTTGAGCAGGACCAATTTTCTCCCGCTCCTGAACTGCTTTTGTCACCAACATTTTCAGCAGAAAATGCAATTTGACTCTATCAAAATGTGCTCGGGGAGAAACGCTGACTTCAGGGATAATTATTATTTTTTTTCTGAGCTCTTTTTTTCCCTTTTTCCTAGGCAGGCTTGGTAGCTCTGGATGAACACACTTCATGCACAGATCGTTTCTCTTGTGGTTTTGGGGGGCACATTGCACCCTGGTCTGTGAAACCCTGTTGATGATGCTGGGGCTTCCTGGATCTATAGGTAGAGATGTTAAAGCCTCTAAGGGGCAGTTAAGAGGGATGTTTATTTCTTGCTGGAAACAGGCTGCTCGTAGCAGCGTACGGCTCAAAAGGAACCTCAAAGGGACCCTCAGGTCCTCTGTTGAATGTTGGTGGAAGAAGCCAGGGGGGGTTATTTACGGTGGTGTTTGCAGGGGTGGAAAAAAATCACATCTCAGTTTCTTAGCGAGGGCAGAGTTGCTGATGGGCAGATGAGATGAGATGGAAAGCTATAAAGTCTGCTTCATTAGGACGTTTCCTTATCTGTACCAGATGCCTTCTCCACACTCTCAAAGGCATCATGCACTGAAAAAAACAGAAAGGATTTGGTTGAACAGAGATAGAATTGTCTAGGTTGGAAGGGACCTTTAAGATCGTCTAGTTCAACCATCAACCTAACTCTGATAAAAACCATCACTAACCCATGTCACTAAGCACTATGTCAACACGTCTTTTAAGCGTGAAGTTCCCAAATCCATCTCTATAACTCTGCTTCCTGTTTGCTTTCCTGCAGGTGAAGTGGAAGGGGAAGGACCTGTTTGATCTCGTGTGCAGGACACTAGGACTCCGAGAAACCTGGTTCTTCGGGCTTCAATACACTATCAAGGATACGGTGGCTTGGCTCAAAATGGACAAGAAGGTTGGAACCAAATTCCCCTTCAGAGGTTGTGTGGGATAATGAAGGAGAACGTGCTTTTTTCCCCTCTTTCTTTGATTACCTGAGGTTGTGCTCTGTGTGGTATCAAAGCGAATGGGGTGAAGTATATTTAGATCTTGTCCCCATGGCATCTGTAAGTCAAACGGGGAAGAGTTGGCCGAGGTACCCCACCCCACTCCTTCTGAGCTGTGAAACCTCGGACTGTGCATGCTGAATCCCCTCTTTTGGGGGCAGCCGTGCTGGGATGCACTTCAGGGAGATGTAAATGAAACCTAAAAGTCTTTTTTCTCTGTCCCTGAATGACAAAACCTTTAGAGGAAAAGCAAAGCTGCATCTTGGCTTCTTTTGTTGTTGAGATGCACAAAGAGCTGGGGAGGAGGAGAACCAGAGGAGGGAAGGGGAGATGTAGGTAAGGGAGGAAACGCTTCCCAAATATGTGAGCCTCCAGGCTGCTGAGGGGTGGGTTGGAGGAGCGATAGATGTGGTTGTGTTTGCATCCAAAGGACGTTAGGCTGAAACCAGACGGCCATCGAGACTGCGAGGGAGGGCTGGGTGTCTCGGGTGTCATGCCAAGGTTTTAAACCAGCATGAATCTGAACTGGAGGGTGCCAGCACAACAGGAAGGTAGCAAGAAATGACACTGAAACAGAGGAGGTGGCGGTGCAGGGAGGCAGCGAGGAAGTCGGACGGTGGCGTAGCAGGATACAGCATCGCTGTGAGGTTCAGAAGAGGCAACGTGCTCGCAGCAGATTGGGATCAACCTTGGCTGTCTCATTTCACATGCTCTTTGTTTCTGCCTTGTTTGTTTTCCCGTATCGTTAGGGGTGTCAGGAATGTTTGTTTGTTTTCTTTTTTTAACTGCAGTTTCTGAACTACTTAGGTTGGTTCGTCTAGTTCTAGATGTCTAAAGGGCTTGGCAGAAGATGTGCTGATCTGAACAGGAGGGAGCTGTTGGCTCCACGAGACGGAGCGTTGGAGAAGCTGGGAAGAGTAGCTGAATGGCTCTTGTATCCTACAGGTTCTGGATCATGACGTTCCAACGGAGGAGCCCGTCACCTTTCACTTCCTGGCCAAATTTTACCCTGAGAACGCAGAGGAGGAACTGGTTCAGGAAATCACCCAGCACTTGTTCTTCCTGCAGGTAGGAGCCGTGTCAGTGCACTGTTCCCTGGCCCGAGGGAGAAAGAGCCAGGATGAGCAAGGAAGGGCAAGAAGGCTCCAGGGTCAGGAAGTTGATAGACAGAGTGTGCCTCCTCCTTCAGAGAGGTGTGAACAGAACCGCAGAGTTGTCTTCAACACCAAAAACTGCTTAAAATAGGTCAAAGCTGGTTTGTCTGGGCGAAGCAGACACAGATGCCAGACTGGCAGACCTCGTAAGCTGGCTGTCAGGAGTGATTAGGTGATCTGTAATATTAGTGTGTGCTGGCCAGGGGAGATGAATCAGTCAGACGAGGGCTTGAACGACACACACAGCCTCGGCGCCCACCTCTCTGCAGGGTGTTTGGCATCGATCTGTGCTGAGGGATGGCGGTTGCCTTTGTACATGATAGCCTCGTTAGGGGAAGCAGGGGAATTTCACCCTCAAAACCAGGGCGCAGGCAACCTGTTTGATGTTCAGGCTGTACAGCAAGGTTCACCTCTGCCCGAAACAGCCTCCGAGTAACTGGAGCAGAAGAAAATCCCAGCAGCACAGCTCTGTCAGACGCTGGTGGCAAAAGCAGAGGAGAAGGGGAAACCTAACAGTCTCACCTGCCCCAGTAACTCCTGCCTGTATGTTAAGCATTTGGAAACTGGGGAATGCATCTCTAGGCTTTTTTTCTTTTTTTTTTTTATTTGAAGTCCACTACACAACTTTGTGTCCTGAGAAACCAGCTCAGCTGATGTTGTTGTAGCAGTTGCTGCATGGCTGGGAAGGAAGAGCTTCTGTCACAGGAGCTCTCTTTCAGACAAGATCGATTTTCTGAAGCTACGTCCTACAAAGGGTCATGTCAACTGGACAGGGAGTGGAATAGTCCCAGTTGCACCCATAGGTACTTACTGGGATGTTTCAGCTCCTCTGGGGCTGTTAAAAAAAAGATGCCCATCCTTAAGTTTGTCACACCAAAGCCGAAGGCAACCTGCTCTTGGATGCTCTTGGGAATACTGCTGGAGGTATTTATTATACGCTGCAGGTGCGCCCTGTCCTTCCTAACGGGTTTCAAAGTGAACCCGCCGCCTTCCTGGTGCTCCTCGCTCTTCCAAAGTTCATCTTTGTTCTTCAGAGCTAAAGGACTTCTAAATGCAAAGTGTTGCTGTTAATTTCCAAGGTCTGTCTGTGCGCTCCTGCCTCTGTAGGGCTATTTTTAAATGTCCGATTTGCCATGGGCTTTATCCTTGATGAGGAAAAGGGCTGTTGGCATCTTTGAAAAGGAAAATCGGGGAGGAAAAGCAGTTAAAGCTGCATTTTATAAATGCAGACTGTGACTTTTCTACTAGGATTTCTGATGATGAGAGGAGCCTGGGCTCCTGTAAGGCTTTTGGGAAACGGGAGCACACATAAGCTGGCAAACCCTCCTGTTTTTATCTTAATGCAGGAGAATATCTTCTGTGATTATGTTATAACCAACTTTGAGGACTCGGAGCATGTCATAAATTCAAATTGATGTTACTGCATCTCTGTGACAATCCATTTAAGTCTCCCAGGAAATAATATGTGGGTTTTTTTTTTCCCCCCCTATTTTTATTCAGGAAAATTAAGTGTGCAAAACCACAAGAAATCGAACATGACAGGTTTAATTTTTTAATGCACAGGAGCCGGGAAGCGCGAAGCTGTGGCTTTTGGGAGCTGCAGGTCTCCTCTCCTGGGAGCGTGCGTGGGGCTTTGCCCACTGCTAAAAGCCCTGCTGGGGAGGGCACCCCCAGCTCTCCAGCCATCTAGGGGGGTTCAGGGGGAATCAGCCTCCCACGCAGGTGAGCACAGACTTGTAACGAGGCCTGAATATCCCAGAGCAAAACCTTTGTGTGCTCAGAGACTCGGCTGCAAACTTCTGGTTTTAATTCAGCGCTGCTTATAGATGTTGTATCGATCCATGGCTTATGCCTTCAAAGCTTTTATCTCCGTGTTTACACACAAGACTTTCCACCCCCACCCCTCCTTGCCTTTAGCAATGGGATATAGATTCTGTCATTTTCCACATATAAATTTAGCTTTTCTCACAAACTTGTCTGAAAAAAGTGGCCTGCGAAAGCCCGAGCCCTTCCCTTCTGAGACTTCCCGGGCCTGAATTGTAATTAGTGTTAGGAAAATTGTTAACTGTGTGGACGACAGCTTGAGTTAAAACAAACCACAGCCATCTGCTATGACAGCCACGCTTTGCACTGCTCCACTCAGTGTGTGTTCCATGTCCTTTACTGCTCCATGCAGGTGAAGAAGCAGATTCTGGATGAGAAGATCTACTGTCCTCCTGAAGCTTCTGTCCTGCTGGCCTCTTACGCTGTCCAAGCCAAGGTAGGCACGGGGGGTTTCTCCAGGAGTGGTGATGGGTCGGCATTGCTCCTGGGAAGCGAGGAGCTTTGTGATGCACCCACATCCTGAGGAAGAGGAAGGCAGGAAAAGTTGACAAAACTTGGGAAGCGAGGGGACTACACCAGCACTGTTGCCTTCCCTGCACGGCTGGTTCCTGGCTGCCTTCAGACGTTGGACAGATTTTTGCTTTCTCTTTCCAGGACTCTCTAGCAGGTTCTCAGTGCCTGCTCAAGTGTGGCTCACTGCTGGAGCAGGTGAATCCCCCGAGCCCCTGCTTTTTTGGATCTCCTCCCTGCTCTTGTTGTTGTAGCCAGAGGCAAGCCAGCCGTGGGACTCACAGCTCGGCTGCTTCCCCAGAACACTTGTCATCACGATAACTACTTTATTTTGAGCTCTACAGCTTGCCACCTAAATGTGATTGCAGTGTTAAAGGGCTCTTCCTGGCTTCTCCCTTCATCTTGGGTTTGATATTGGGTGCTTGCCCTCCCTGGAAAGAGGAAGAAGTCAGTGGTGACCAAGTTCCCCTCAGCTGAATTCTGCTGTGGAACCCCAAGTTGTCTTTTTTTTTTTTTAAGATTTATTTAAGATGATTTATTTAAGAGAAAGCTGTTTTGCAGCCTTGACAGCTTGCAGCAGAGGCTCTCCTGGGGTAGAGGGAGCAGCTCAGTGTAAAGGAGTGGGGACGCTCTTGCAGGAGGGGAAGTAATTTCTCCCTGTGAATGCACAATGTTTGCTGCTGCTCAGCTAACGAGTCTTCTAGCTGATCTCCAGTTTATGCATGTAAAGATAATGTCTTTGGAAAAGGAGAGGAGTGGCTGGAGTCCGATCGCAGCCCAGCCACATTACGGCTGTAGCCTCACAGCTGTAGTCATGTCTGCCTCTGGATGTGATTCTGGGAGGCGTTTTGGCTCGTGGGGCCACAGGCAGGTGGCCATGCCCTGGTTCTGGCCCGTCTGCGCGTCCTTGAGGAGCAGGACAGGTCTGAGAGGAGCTCTCTGGTCTGAGACCACCTTGGCTGACTGGGGAGGGGATCGGGCTCTTGCCTGAAGTGACAGCCTGATCCAGGCTGGTTGGAAACTGAGGCCGGTCCTCAGTGTTTCACCCTGGCTTTTTGTGAGTATAATCATAGAATCATGGAATGGTTTGGGTTGGAAGGTACATTGAAGACCATCCAGTGCCACCCTGGGCAGGGACACCTCCCACCACACCAGGTTGCTCCAAGCCACCCCCAACCTGCCCTTGAACCCCTCCAGGGATGGGGCAGCCACAGCTTCTCTGGGCTAATCTCCCTCCTGACCCTTTAGTCCGTGCCCCTTTGTCTGTCTGCAGCCCCGAGTGATGTGCAGCGGTGTTCTTTTTGATGATGAATGCTTGAATTTACTAGAAAAAGGTGTTTTCTCCTCATAGTCAGAATATTGATGAAACCATATTTTGTTTGGGAGACTCATCGGCCAGAGAAAGGCGAGTTGCTTTTAGAAATGTTTGTATTTGTGCGAAACATTCATCACTCTTATTAGAGTGCATGAGTAAACACTTACTTGGCTTTTTCTGCCTTGACCTGCTGAGCTGAGGATACACAAGGGATGACTTTTCCTGTTGCCAAAGTGAATCAACTGTCGGGTAAATATTGAGCGTTGTTAATTCTTGGCCCTGACAGCTTCTGCTGGCGCGAGCGGAACAGGCTGTAATTTGGTAGAGGGCTGTTGTGCCACTGTCCCCTTTCTCTTCTCCCAGCACAGCCTCCAACCTCCAGCCTGGGTCCCCCCCTCTGCTTATTGGGATGGGTTTTTTTTCAGCAGAGGAGAAAAGCTGAAAGCGCATCTTTGGTACGGAACCAGGAAGAAAGATGTCGCAGGTCATCTCCTTCCAGTTAAATGGGCTAATGATGTCCTCTCTGTACAAGGAAGCGGCCACTGAGTGCAGTAATTTCACTAATAACGTGCTGATTTGCTTGATTAGGGGCATAATGACCTGACATCGCGGTGTGTTTGCGGCCATTTGATTGACAGCCAGGGTGGTTTGTAGTCTTGTTGCACACCTACCTGCAATAACAAAGCATGCGGGTGGGTCATAAAAATAAAAAGCTTATTTATTTCTAAATCGTTGTGTTCATTTGGGGAATTACTGTGTGTTTTCCCCTCTAGCCCTGCTGCTTTCAAACCACCCACGCTGCTTTCAGAGGTTGGAGGCGGTTGAGGTTCTAAATAAGCCGGGAAGAAATGTGGGATCTACTGAAAAATACATCCCTGCAGAAAGTGGTAACGTCCGGGAGGTTCTTCCATTTCTCGCCCCGTAAACGCAGGTCGCTGCTTCTCAGCACTTCAAACCTCAAAGGGCTCTTTTGGTTTGGGGTTGTTTTTTTTCCCCCCAAATCAAAAATACTTGGTGGTAATGGTTTGAAGCTGAACATGCCCCTGTTTACCCAGGACGAGGTAAGCCAGGTGTAGGAATGAGGTAAAGGCAACTTCCACCTGTCGCCGTGAATATTAATCATAGAGTTCCATTAGCAGGAGCTGAAATTCCATGACAGTTTTGAAGTAATGATTTAATTGGAAAGGCCTGTAGAAGTATGTTTGCCGAATCATTTGAGCCAACTTATACCGCAATACTTAAGCCATTTGTTGATTTTTGACTTGTGAATAATTAATGTTCTCATCCAGGCTCCCTCTCAGTACAAATATTCCCTTGGGACGTGGCAATATTTTTCACCACAGGAAAATCACCTAATCCCTGCTTAGTCTTGGATCCCCACGGTAGATCCCAGCAAAAAAAAATAATCGCCTTAATCCTATTTGCTATTATTTTCATCACCTAAAAGTGATTTATTCTCTGCCTCTCCAAGGTTATTGGAGTTGTTTCCTTTGCCGGGGCTGCGGTTTTATTGCCGTTCCCTTTTGCTGTGGGTTCAAGGGCCGCGTGGGTCTGAGGAGCCCCCAGCATCTCCAGACCTTGGAAGACAGACGGTGTCTGCTGCTCAGCACCCTCCTGAACGAAACCCGTGGGGGTTTTGTTTGTGTTAATTGAAGTCTGAGTCAGTGTTGATGGTCGCACGCTTCCTTCCCATCTGCATTGGCTCCGGATCAATATTTGCGTCTTTAATCCCCGCTCGTCATCTCCGTGAGTCGGTGCTCGCCGGGCTGCCGAGAGGGGGGGTGTGCAGCCTTTTGATGCTGGTTTTAGCACCCGACGTGATGGTTCTCTCTGTAAAAGGCGGCTGAGATGGAAAGCTTCCCCAATTATTACGTGGCCACCGTGAGCGTGTCTCGGTCTGGCTTTTAAAAACCGTCCCCGTTTTGTACTTTCTGAGCTGAGGTCCTTCAAAACCCAGGGAGGGAAGGGCCGTCTCCCTCGCAAAGGGAGCGACTGGAGCACACGTGGCGGTGTCTGGTGTGATGGGGCAATGTCACCGCAGAGCCCTGTTTGCCAGGTGAATGAAAATCGCTGCATTTCGTGTACGTGCCTCACAGCCGTCGTCCTCTTCCCTTGAACTTGCTGGGTTATTTGAGGTGCCGTTTTCTGGTGGCTTCCTGCTCTCTGAAGCTGGATGGGAGGTAAATTCATTTTCACAGGCACTGCAGGGACACTTGGCTGTTCAATCTGCTAATAAGCAGTTTTTGTTCTCAGTCGCTTTATACGCTGCTCAAAATGATGTAAATCTAAACAAATACTAGTAATTACTGGATGCACTTAACAAATCTCGGAATTGGATTCCACAACCCAGTTGAGCAGCAGACCCTGCGGCAGAGGAGCCAACCCCTACCCGAGAGGAGTCTGTCAAACTCTGAATTTCACTGAATTTCATTGAATTTTTAGAGTTGGAAGGGACCATAGAGATCATCTAGTCCAACTCCCCTGCTAAAGCAGGACCACCCAGAGCTTGTCAGAGCATGTTACTCAGGAGCATCCAGGTGGGTCTTGAAAATCTCCAAAGAAGGGGACTCCACACCCTCCCTGGGCAGCCTGTTCCAGGGCTCCGTCACCCTCACCGTGAAGAAGTTTCTCCTCATATTCAAGTGGAACCTCTTATGTTCCAACTTGTGCCCATTGCCCCTTGTCCTCTCACTGGCAACTACTGAAAAGAGTCTGGTTCCCTCCTCCTTCAACCCTCCCTTGAGATACTTGTAGGCATTGATAAGGTCTCCCCTCAGCCTTCTCTTCTCCAGACTAAAGAGTCCCAGCTCTCTCAGTCTCTCCTCATAAGGGAGATGCTCCAATCCTTGAATCATCTTTGTTGCCCTTCGCTGGACTCTCTCCAGTAGTTCCCCATCCCTCTTGAACTGGGGAGCCCAGAACTGGACACAGTACTCCAGTTGTGGCCTCCCCAGTGCAGAGTAGAGGGGGAGAATGACCTCCCTTGACCTGCTGGCCACACTCTTCCCTACACAGCCCAGGATTCCGTTGGCCCTCCTGGCTACAAGAGCACATTGCTGGCTCATTGTCATTTTGTTGTCCACCAGGACCCCCAGATCCTTTTCCTCAGAGCTTGTCTCCAGCAGGTCCATGCCTAACCTGTATTGATGCCTAACGTTCTTCTTCCCCAGGTGCAGGATCCTACACTTTTCCTTGTTGAGCCTCATGAGGTTCTTCCTTGCCCAGGTCTCCAGCCTGTCCAGGTCTCTCTGGATGGCAGCACAGCCCTCTGGGGTGTCAGCCACCCCTCCCAGTTTGGTATCATCAGCAAACTTGCTGAGGATACACTCTATCAACTCCTGCAATATGTTTTTGATATTTATTCGTTAAGGTGGCGAGCAGCAACAGAGAAATTGCCATCTGCCTCCCCCGAGTTACTGGAATCCATCAGTCTTTGGGGTGACAGGTCTTTGTCCGTATCTTGACTCCTTGTCTCACCACCGGTGGGAGGGCAAGGACCTCTTTGCTGTAGAGTGAGTCTTTCCTCGCATCGGAGGAAGTGTTTTCTGGCCATGGTAATTAGAGTAGAATAGAACAGTTCAGTTGGATGGGACTTACAACGATCATCTAGTCCAGCTGGTGGACAGATGGTGGATGTCAACCGATGGTGAACGTCAACTGATGGTGGGAAGTTTTGTTTTGCTTCCCCCTCTGCTGCATGAGTAGGAGGAGGATGTTAGTTTCTGTTAGCGATCAAATGGTAGAGATAATATGATTATTAAATTTGCTGAGCAGCGTATGTTCCCTGCTCTAACACGTTGGGAGGGGGGTAAGCAGTCTGTGTGTGCTGTCTCCCCAGGGGGTGGATGTGTAGGGCTGAAGAGTTTCCCTTGCTGGTGGTGTTAACGTGGGGTGGGCACCGTGTTTGTGCTTCTTTGCAGTACGGCGATTACGACCCCAACGTCCACAAGCGAGGCTTCTTGGCTCAAGAAGAGCTGCTTCCAAAGCGGGTAAGGAGCTCAGCCGGGCAGAGGAGGAGGTTTCCTCCAAGCCTGGTGGTGGTTTGTGTGACAGAGACCTTTGCAGAGGGGGTCTGTGTGAGGCTGCCTGCAGGGTGCACCCCACCTGGCTTTCCTTGGGCATCCTTACCAAGGCAAACCAACCAAAAAATGTATTGAGGGAGGAGAATTCAGTCTCTGTCTGACATATTTTAATAAAAACAGGAGCAAACAAGCAAATTTTCACGGTTTCACACTGCCTGCATAGAATTGTGGAGTCATAGAATTGTCGAGGTTGGAAGGGACCTTTCAGATCATAGAGTCCAACCAACAACCCAACACTGCCCAAACCACCACTAACCCATGTCCCTCAGCCCCACATCCACCTGGCTTTTAAATACCCCCTGGGATGGGGATTCCACCAGTTTCCCTGGGCAGCCTGTTGCAGTGCTTAATAATCCTTCCAGTACAAAAAACTTTCCTAATATCCATCCTAAACCTCCCCTGGCGCAACTTGAGGCTGTTTCCTCTTGTCCTGTCCCCTATCCCTTGGGAGAAGAGACTGAGCCCCAGCTGCATGGGGGTGGCCTGGGGACAGCTTGCCCGTGCTTGGGAGGGTTGAGGGGGGCACTGGGTGATGGCAGGGCATGGGGCTGAGGGTCGCCTGCCTTGGGGTGGGATGTGGGGCTGGGGAGGGGTGGCTTGGGGCTGGGGTGTCTCTGGCTTGCTGGCTGGCTAAGGGGACTGTGACAAGAACGGTGGTGTGACCTGGTCTCTGTCTCCCCACGTATCACAGGTAATAAACCTGTACCAGATGACTCCAGAGATGTGGGAGGAAAGGATAACAGCCTGGTACGCAGAGCACCGAGGCAGAGCGAGGTGAGTGTGTGCCAGAGCACTGGGTCAGGGTCGGTCCCTTTTTGGGGGTTTGGGGAGCTCGGGCAGGTGGCAGATGAGCCCTGGTGACAGCAGGGTTAATCCATCACACCTCTGGAGCAGAGTCAAAACGGGCAGAGGGCTTTCTTTGCTCTAAGTATGCCCTGCTGTCCCCTGGTCACTAGAAAATTTAGGACTGAAGCTCAGTAACCTGCAAAGGGGCAGGGAGATGGGCAGCCCTTGCCTGCCTTGGGGGGTCAGGGTGCCTTTGGGGCCAGGAAAAGAACTAGGGCTTCAGACTGATGGGATGAGGCCAGCAGGGTGAGGGAGGTGATTCTACCCCTCTGTTCCACTTCTGTGAGACCCCACCTGGGTTACTGTGTGCAGTTTGGAGTCCCCAGCACTGGGACATGGAGCTGTTGGAGTGGGGCCAGAGGAGGCCCCGGAGATGCTGGGAGGGCTGGAGCCCCTCTGCTGGGAGGGGGGGCTGAGAGAGTTGGGGGGTTCAGCCTGGAGAAGAGAAGGCTCCGGGGAGACCTTGGAGCCCCTTCCAGTCCCTCAAGGGGCTCCAGGAGAGATGGGGAGGGACTCTGGATGAGGGAGGGGAGCCCTAGGAGGAGGGGGAAGGGTTTGACCCTGCAAGAGGGGAGATGGAGCTGAGCTGTGGGGAAGAACTTGTTTGGGGTGAGGGTGGTGAGAGCCTGGCCCAGGTTGCCCCGAGAAGCTGTGGCTGCCCCATCCCTGGAGGGGTTCAAGGGCAGGTTGGAGGGGGCTTGGAGCACCCTGGTGTGGTGGGAGGTGTCCCTGCCCAGGGCAGGGGGTGGCACTGGGTGGTCTTCAATGTCCCTTCCAACCCAGACCATCTGATGATTCTGTGTATTGCTGCCCTGGGTGGTAAAATGCTCCTTTTGGGGGATAAGCCCAAAGTCAGATGGATCTGAAACGGGGACCTCCCAGCCAGGGATTTCTTACACATGCTTAAGGGATTGGGAGAGGCACAAAGCAAGGCTTGCAGCACTGTGTCTCGCTGGGCTGGCTGTTCAGATGCCAGCAAAGCTGCAGAGGGGGATTTGCTGTTGGACTTTATTGATCCTGCCGGCAAAGAGCGGCTTGACCTGTGCGATAGAGACAGTCTGGGCTTTAAAGCCTTGTGTGTGCTTAGGATTGGAACAAGCAGCCATCGCCCTCTCTCTGATCCTACCAAACATCGTAACACTGGCCTTTTTTTTTTTTTTTTTTTTATTCTCTGACAGAGATGAAGCTGAAATGGAGTATTTGAAGATAGCTCAGGACTTGGAGATGTACGGAGTGAACTATTTTGCGATTAGGGTGAGTGGTAGGTTGTGGGTCAGGTTTTTCTTGCCAGCGTAGCTCTCGTGTTAGTCTTCATCTTCTGTGTGGGTGTGAGATGGGATGAGCGGAGCCTGGGAGAGCCAGCAGCCCCGAGAGAGGGCTTGGGCTGTGGTGGTGGGAGTCCCTGGGAGGCAGAAGCTCTTTTAACAGACTGTGCTGGTGGGTCACTGCTCGGGGCTGGTTGGTGAAGCTCACAGCGGTTCATCTCACACCCTCCGAGTGGAATAAAAGGGTTTTCTGCTTCTTTTCTTTCTACCCATAGAATAAAAAGGGCACCGAACTGCTCCTTGGAGTTGATGCCTTGGGTCTTCACATTTATGACCCAGACAACAGGTTGACCCCTAAAATCTCTTTCCCGTGGAACGAGATCCGGAATATCTCATACAGCGATAAAGAGGTATGGATACATCTCCCCTCCTCCCTGAGAGCAGTACGAACACGGTTGGGATTTAAAATTATTTCTCTCAGTTTCTCTGTCTGCTGTGCTTAGCTAAGGGCAGCTCAGCTTCCCCAACTGAAACCTTAATGCCAAGCCTTCCTGAAACCTTCCAGGAGTGAGAGTCCAGGAGGTCAACTGGGAGCTATTCTCCCATTTGGTTTTAGAGTACATTCAAAGCCTCTACATAATTTTTTTCAAAAAAAACCCCAAAATTGCTGTTGATGTGCTTAGCCCAAATATCAAAGTTTAGAAATGTCATCTCTATTGTATATATTGCAGTATGTATTACCCTGTATATACAGCGTATTATGAAGGCTGGTGAGATGTGTTCCTGGTGAGAAGAGAGCTCTTGCCGTATCGTTACATCACCTCGAGTTTTCAGGCTGCTGGGCTTGGCGTAACAGCTTTAGGAAGTTAAGTAATTTAAGACCGCTATTGGATAGATATTTATTAAATCCAGAGCATAAATATGAATGTTCTGAATCATTGGCCGCCGAACCTAGTTGAGAAGAGCAGTGCAATGGGCTGTGGAGGGGAAACTGAGCTGCTCGATTTTCAGTTTGTGAGAGCTGCTCGAAGAAAACCAGCTGCCTTCATGGTAAGGAGGAAAATGAACTTCTTAATTAAAAATGGTTTTCTAATCTAAACATGGTATTGATCAGGGTAGAAGCTAAAGGTTTCTCATCAGCTGCATTTATCGAATGTCATGAAGTTTTATAAGGAGTAAAGGCGTGCTGGAATTTGCTCCGCTTGTTTTACTCCTTAAAAAAAAAAAAACAATAAGGAGCTTCACAGCTCTGCCGAAGACCCCGGCCCTTGGTGCCTCTCGGCGGCGTTCCTGCCGTGAGGGATGAGTGTGGTGGAAGCTGTCTCTGCTCCAGCACTGCCTCAGAAATCTGGGATTGAAGCCTCGGCAAGCAGGCCTTGACAGGAGACTGTAATGGAGCTTTCTCCAGGGAGACAGGACTGCCGCTTCCCATCAGGTCAATCACCCGGGTAACCAGATGACCACGAGCAGACCTGACGGGATAGTAAACAGGCTTAATAGTGGGGTATGACAGCGACGTCGACACCACAGAGGGGGTTTAACCCCTCCTAACGAAGATTGACTGTTGACATGGCACTGAAATTCCTCTCCTGGTGGTATTTCTGGTGTTGCTTTCAGTGAATTGGGAGGGGGGAGGGAGGTTCTGCTGCAGCCCGAGTCTGGGGGGATTCACGCACGTCTGCTTGGGTGAAAGGCTGGAAAGATTGGCTCTTAAACTGACAAAAGGCAGCCCTGCCGGGGCCGCTCGGGCTGAGCCCTTCTCGTATTGACAAATAGAGCTCCCTTAATGGAGCTGCCTCTCCAGCGGGTTATTTCTGTCACGCCTGGGGGAGGGATGGAAGATACGCACGCCTGGGAGACAACGCGGTGTTGTGGAGCGCTCCGTCTCTTCAAGTGCCCTTTGGTTTGCTCAGAGTCTTCTGCAGTATCCAAACCCTCGCGTCTGGCCATGCCACTGATGTCCTCTCGAGGAGACCCTCTGTGGGAAAGCTCTTTGAGGAGGGTGAAGCCAGGCTGGGGTTGGAGCCGTTCAGTTGGCACAGAGGGAATAACAGCAGGTCGAGAGGCGTTATCCTCCCCCTCTGCTCTGCCCCATCTGGAGCACTGGGTCCAGTTCTGGGCTCCCCAGGTCAAGAAGGACAGGGAACTGCTGGAGAGGGGACAGCAGAGGGCTATGAAGATGATGAGGGGCCTGGAGCATCTCACTTATGAGGAGAGGTTGAGGCACTTGGGTCTGTTTAGTCTGGAGAAGAGAAGGCTGAGGGGGGAGCTGATCAATGCTTATAAATACTTAAAGGGTGGGTGTCAGGAGGATGGGGCCAGTCTTTTTTCAGTGGTGCCCAGGGACAGGATAAGAGGAAATGGGCACAAATATGAATACCAGAAGTTCCACCTAAACATGAGGAGGAACTTCTTTCCTGTGAGGGTGGCAGAGCCCTGGAAGAGGCTGCCCAGAGAGGTGGTGGAGTCTCCTTCTCTGGAGACATTCAATATTCAAACCCTGCCTGGCCACGTTCCTTGTGCAACCTGCTCTGGCTGGACCTGCTCTGGCAGGGGGTCGGACTAGATGATCTCCAGAGGTCCCTTCCTCTGTAATCCTCTGATTCTGTAATACATTGAATTTCAGAGCAGTCTTGTGACATGCCTGACTTCTGGAGAGCAAAATGCCTGGAAAATCCCTTCGGGGAGCCGTGCGAGTGGAGGTGTCAACAGCTCCTCTTCGGTGCTCCAAATGCAACCCTCCAGCCCATCCATGGGGCAGCTGAGCTGCTTCTTCCTCCCTTCAGAAGTGTCAGGAGTTTCTGCCATACCTTCTCCCTTTTTCCTTGGGGGGTGCTGAGCTGTCTCTGCCCTGGGCAAGGTGCTCTGCAGGGGATGCTGGCTGTGGGGCAGGACAGCTGGTGGGTGGACAGCACTCTCCTGCCTGGCACTCGCCTTTCTCCCCACGGGAGGAACAGTTGTCTCCTTGGTTGCTTTTCCTACTAGTTCTCTCCCTTGGCTAAAAGCCATGGGGAGGGCTCTCAGCCCGGTTTGTCTGACACCGCTGACCGCCCCCGAGCCCAAGCTTTCAGTAGGACTTTTATAGTGGCGTTTTTGTTAAATGTGCCGCTCTCTGATAACTCTCTCCCTCTTTATTTTATTTTATTTTTTTCCTTTTCAGTTCACGATTAAGCCGTTGGACAAAAAGATTGATGTTTTTAAATTCAATTCGTCAAAGCTGCGTGTGAATAAGCTGGTAAGTCTACAGACAGAGTAATTTTTATTGCCTGCAGCAGTAGTTTCTGCCGGTGGTACGAGGCAATGTTCTTTTGGGGCTTTTCCTGTGAGCGGTGGGAGGGAGCTGGGCTGTAGATGTGCTTTGGTTCAGCAGTTGCTACACGGTCATAGCCTCGTGAAGAGAAGGGGGGTGACCAAGTCAAGCTCCTTCACAGAACCTCTTCCCCCTCTCCTGTTTTGTGCTCCCTTTCTGAGCTCTGGGGTTACACCTGACCTGCGTGGTGGAAGCGCTTTAGTAAGTAAAACTTTCTCGTCACCTTCATCCTTGCTCCAGATCCCCTTTCTTCTGCAGATCCATTCTCCTCTCTGACGTAGGGCTCTCTGTTTTGGGATGCACCGTTATCAGTCACAGTCCTGGCTTTTTCCTGGGCTGATCCTCTCTGAGGACACTCTCCTTGTACAAGGCTGAGAGAGTTGGGGGAGTTCAGCCTGGAGAAGAGAAGGCTCCGAGGAGACCTTGGAGCCCCTTCCAGTCCCTCAAGGGGCTCCAGGAAAGCTGGGGAGGGACTCTGGATGAGGGAGGGGAGCCACAGGAGGAGGGGGAAGGGTTTGACACCAAAAGAGGGGAGATGGAGCTGAGCTGTGGGGAAGAACTTGTTTGGTGTGAGGGTGGTGAGAGCCTGGCCCAGGTTGCCTGGAGAAGCTGTGGCTGCCCCATCCCTGGAGGGGTTGAAGGGCAGGTTGGAGGTGGCTTGGAGCAAGCTGGTGTGGTGGGAGGTGTCCCTGCCCAGGGCAGGGGGTGGCACTGGGTGATTCTTTCAGGTCCCTTCCAACCCAAACCATCTTATGGTTCTATGAAAGGGGCTACGTTGAGATGTTCTGTTCAGCATCCGTATTAGAGACCAGCTTTACCCAGTGTTGTGGAGTTGGTATCTGGAGGAGCTTTGATCCAGAGTCTGTAGTAGCTGTGCACCATGTTAAGTCGCACAAGGGACCTGCAGAAGGCAGAGGAGGATATTTTTTCCATTCTTATAAGAGAGGGAGGGGAACTTTGCTGTCCTGGTCATAGCCTGTCCTGTACTTCATGTGCCGTAGAGAAGTGGGGCTTCCTAACGAAGGCCTCATGGCACTCATCAGGTTCTGAGTGCTGTAGCTCCTCTGACTCCAGAGAAGTCATTCATGACTTGTGAAATAGAAGACAGGCATGTGAATCAGTCCTTTAGAAAAGAATCTGGGTTTAGAAACCTGCTTTTATTGCTGAAAAGAGCTTTTACTCCTTGTACCCACCCCTTTGCTAACCCTTCTCTAAAATTGCCACCTTCCTTGTCTTCCTTCTCAAGCACCAGAGGAAACCCTTCAGGCAAAGGTATCTGAAGGTGTCCAAGGAAGCTTTTGATAAGGCTCCTGATTGCGTGTAGTCTTGTCCAAGACAGAAAGTGCTTTTCCTTCCTTTCTTTTTTTTTTTCCTTTTAATCTCAATGCTTTAAACATGCAGTTGGAAGGAGGTGCAAGTTCATCTTGAACCTAAAGAAAGGGGCCAGTGAGAACCAGGGAACCAGCTGGAGCTGTAACAGTCTTTGTTTTGTTATTTGGCCTAATGCCTTTTCTGGGGCTGGTATAAAACTTGCCAGACCCGTGCTGTGCTGGCTGCACAGAAAACAGAAAATTGGTTTCTGGAAAGAGCCGCTCCGGCCCAGGAGCTGGCGTTTGGAACGGGGCTTGGCTGTGCCTTGGCTCCCTGCCCCTCAGATGGGTACGAGAGCTCAGAGGGTTTGAGATCTGTGGGTGGAAGTGCTTAGAAGCACCAAACCAAAGCTGTTCTAGTGGTTTTGTGTGTCGAGAATACAAACTACCTCATCGTCATCATGTGTACAGCTGTTTCTCTCCGCTCTTCACCCTTGACTGGGATAGATTCTCCAGCTGTGTATTGGAAACCACGACCTCTTCATGAGGAGGAGGAAGGCAGACTCCTTGGAGGTCCAGCAGATGAAAGCGCAGGCCAGGGAGGAGAAAGCCAGGAAGCAGGTGAGAGACATCTCATGTAATTAGAACCACCAGCCAAAATCAGAAATGCAAATGAACTTGGGGAGGAACGGTCTCCAGAATGACACGGAGCAGCTTTGAGGGAAGGTCCAGCCCAACATTTCTTTTTAGTAGCCTGATTCACCTTGCCAGTTGCTCTCAACTTGGCTCTGCAGGTTGATGGCAGCCCGTGTCCAGCCCCTAAATTTGGGAACAAAACTGGGAGGAGAGGAGGGAAGAGCTGATCTGAGAGTCCTACAAGCGTGCGTGCAATCTGCCTCGCTTTATGCCTGGGCTCCGTAGGTGGAGAGATGTAGCCTGGTGGGGCAGTTGCTTGAAATTAAAGCAGGGGCTGTGAAGGGGGAGCCGTGCTTTGCCGTAGTTCGTCTCCTCGTTTTCTAATTGCAGGGTGATGGAATGCGTGCCGGCGTTTCGGGGGGTGCAGCCTGCATGCTAATTGGGCACTGGCCTCCTTTATCTGCCGCAGGTCAGCCCAGGCAGCCAAAACGCCTCTTTGGAGGCAGCGGCGTGGAGCCGATGAGCATATATCAGCAAATTGGATTGTATGAATCATTGTTTTCTGCTCGTAGACCTTTTCTACTCACTGAAACCCGCACAGCTAATCTGGGTGCTGGTGCTTAGAATATAAATGTCCCTTTTTTGCAGTAAAGCCGCTAGATAGCAGCAGAAGAACCCAAAGCAGCCGCTTGCACCCAGGAGGGCCTTATGCTCAAGGGATTGCTAAGGGGATGAGTTTGAGCATGGTCACAGAGGTGCCTATGTGGTGCTGGGCTTGGCGGTGAGGTGCTCTGCTGACCTGGAGGTGTGGCGTGGCTTGTTTTGTAGGCACCTCCTGGAGCAGTTCTCCTTCCTGGGGCTTGTGGGGTGGCAGGAGAAGACAGGACATGAGACACTACGTGTGTCACCAGGCCGGCTCCTCTGGGGAGGGGGAGGTTCTTGCTTCCCACAGGGATTCCTCTCCTCTGGTCAGTAAGGACTTGGCATTAGTGGAGCAAAAGGTCCTCCTTGCAGTGTGGTGTCCAACCGGTGGTGGCTCCAGGGACAGGTTTTAGTGTCTTGTGAGTTCTTGAGGCATTTGAATAACGCCGGCAAGACCCGAGATCCTGTGCTGAGTTAGGCTGCGGGGAGAGGCTGCACAGAGTGAGCAGGAGCTTGTTGTCTCCAGGAGCTCTCAAATCCAGAGCTCTTATGCTCTACAGGAAAGCTCAGGCTTCTCCTGGGGTTGGTTGCCCTCTCCCAAGCTGCCACCGTGCTGTCTCTCCTGCTCTCCCCTCCCTCCCCAGCATCCACAGTTGTTAACTTGGTTCCACATAGTCCTTTTATAGTGGGAATTCTTCTTAATGGAAGTCCTGAGAGGGATGCAGATTGTAATGATAATTAATGAGGGGAACCTTTAATAGAAGGAAGCAGAGCCGTTAGAGCAGTGGGCGTCCCGCTTTCAGAACGCAGTTGGTGTCCAAGGAGCAGGGAAATGTGTCTTGTCACACTTATTTCCCTTATTAAACCCAGCAGGTGGCCCGTGCGGTGCTGTGAGTCCTTGCTGCAGCGTGGATGTTTATAATGCACCCATCTCTGTCATACTGGAGTGCTTAAACTAGGTGTGTTAATTAGCCTGATGGCTCCCTTTGGGCGCTTGGCTGGCGGAGAGGCAGTTGTTGGGTACGCTCCAGCTGCACCACGCTCTCAGCATCTTCTGGGAAGAGGTGGCAGATTGTGGTGGGTTGTCTCAGCGCAGCTTGGATCTTCCCCTCCTGGAGAAACATCCCTATTTCCTGCAGCCCGAGCCGGAGGGAGAGAGTTTATTGTTTCTAAGAATTGATAGAGGTGGTCGAACTCTTTGTGACCTCCCCTATAAATGAGTGGAAGTGCGGTTTCCAGCGGAGCTGGGTTAGATGGCTGATCAAAAGTAGCTGCTATCGACATCCTTCAAACTCCAGCCTTGCAGTGGGTCAATATTTGGTATTTTGAAGGTGCCCTTGGGCTGCTCTTAAGCCCAGTCTTGCCATAAGAAACTTTTGGGAGCCCTTAAACTTTCGGGAGCCTCCTTGTCTGAGTCCACCCTGTGAGTTGGTGTAGGAGGGTGCTGTCTGGGGACATAGTCACCTGTGGGCAGCATCCATCCTATGGAAAGCCATTCTAATGTGTGTTATTTCTCCTTGCTTTCCCCAACACCTTTTTCCCAGATGGAACGGCAGCGCTTGGCCCGAGAGAAGCAGATGAGAGAAGAGGCTGAGAGGACAAGGGACGAGCTGGAGAGAAGGTTGATGCAGTTAAAGGAGGAGGCAACGATGGCCAACGAGGCTCTGGTAAGTCTCTGGGAGGTTGTGTTCCTTATTCTTTCTACTGCTGAAGGGTTTTAGGAGGCACACGGTGACTGTCCTATGGCTATTTGCAAACTGCTGCTGGTGGATGGTGATCAGGAGGCTGGATGGGGTTGATTTCATCCTGCTGTGGGAGGAGCACAAAGGAGGAGGATTTGGGATGGAGCCTGGGTACAGCCAGGGCTTAGCCACAGAAGGCTTTCATGGAAGGGAGGGACTCTGTGGGCCACAGCGGCTGTGAGCAGCTCGGGATCCTGCTCCGGGGGTTGTAAGCACATTTGGGGAGACATTCAGTGCGCTTAATGGCTGAATGTGCCTTAATTCTCAGATGAGGTCTGAAGAGACAGCAGACCTGCTGGCTGAGAAGGCTCAGATCACAGAGGAGGAGGCCAAGCTCCTGGCTCAGAAAGCAGCTGAGGCTGAACAGGAGATGCAGCGCATCAAAGCCACGGCCATCCGGACGGAGGAGGAGAAGCGGCTGATGGAACAGAAGGTGCTAGAGGCAGAGATGTTGGCACTGAAAATGGCGGAGGAGTCGGAGAGGAGGTCAGAGGGTACAACCTTGCAGCTGCCTCTGCTTTGCTTTCCAGCCCCCTTCTGACAGCTGAGAGTGGTTTGTGCCTCGAGTTAGTCCTTCCAAGGGTTTGCAGTGAGCCCTCGGCCTCCCATGCGCATCAAATAGACCTGCCTGGGTGCAGTAACATGCTCTAACATGCTCTAGGCAATCCTGCTTCAGCAGGGGAGTTGGGCTAGATGATCTCTATGGTCCCTTCCAACTCTAAAAAATTCAGTGAAATTCAGTGAAAATAGCAAAGGGCCCCAAGGCTCAGCTGGTTTCTCTCTCCATCTCGCTGTTTGCCACAGCCAGGTTGTCCCCACGTAGGAAACAGTGCTGGAAGAGCAGTGGTAGCCCTGATCTTTCCCTGGCTTGGAGCTGGAGACCCTTCTCTGAAGTCTTCTTTGGGAGAGACACTGTGGTGGGAGCAGCAGGGCAAGGGGCTGTTGGCTACCAGGGCAGAAAGCACTGTGGTCCTTGGCACTCTCACATTGATGGCAGCAGCAGAAGCCAGCTCTACTTCAGGGTGATTCCTGCAAACACCCTCTGCATTCCCCAAAGTATTTGACAGCATGAATAACACTTTTCCTTCCAGAAGGTAGATCTCCATTCCCCGTTCTCTCTTTATTCCTCTATTTACCTCTCCGTTGTTGAGTTCTCCTTATCAGTTGAGAGGTCTCTGTTTCAGGTTAGCTGTGAGGTCTCTCTACCTCCTGGAGTCCTTGCTTCTTGTTAAAACTCGTGTTTCCATCCTTTGATACCAGAGCCCAGGTCCCGTGGTGCGTTTGGTAGTGAGCAAGTAAAAGATCATCCTTGTTTCCTTCCGGTTGACTACTCCTTTCCATGACAGAGCTTGCTTGGTGTCAGCCCTTCTGCTTGGATGAAAGCTGCCCTTGTCCATCTCTTCTTGCCTTTTGGAGCCTCCACTCAAATTCAATGCAGCAGAGAAAGTATTCCCTCCTTTGGCTTTCTCTTTGTGGGGATTCCTTGAGCCTCAAGGGTAAATACTAGTTCTGGGATTGTTGGGCCCTGCGAGCAGGCAAAGCTGTGCAGTCTTGGGTGCTTTTTCCTTTTTGAAGGCAATAAATAATTGTTAGTAGAGGCCGACTTGTCAGAAAATTGCCTCTCCTGCTGTAAGTCTGAGCTTAACTTTTGAAGTTCTCCCTGTTCTGGCATCTTAGCACGCTTCTCCAGCCCTTAGCTTTGCTCACTGATGCTCACACAGAGCCCATGGCAGAGCTGCCCTTCCACGGCTTGGATTTTTGTGCTAATTAAATCGTCCCACATGTCAGAGGTTCTGGCATTTCCCTTTCTCAAATGATTTCTTTGTTTAGGTGTTGCGGGACAAATCTCAGTCTATTCCACACCTACACTGTAATTCTATTTCTCCACCTTCTCGTTCCTTTCTCAACATCAATCTGATATTTGCCATTTGCTGTTTTTCCTTGCAGGGCGAAGGAGGCTGATCAGCTCAAGCAAGACCTTCAGGAGGCTCGCGAGTCTGAGCGGAGGGCGAAGCAGAAGCTTTTGGAGATCACCAGCAAGTCGTCCTACACAGTAAGAGTGATCTGTATGGTAGTTCCCAGCCCATAAACGTGCCCCTCTCTAGCCCGGAGGAGTCTCATGTCTCCATCCCATCCGTGGAGGGGTATGAGCTGTTCAGAAACCCGTAGCAGTGACCTTTTCATCCAGTCACCCCATCCAGCAGACCATCACTTTGCTCTTGTTTTTTTTCACCCAACTTACCCTGCCTCAAGCTACAAGGGCAAGGCAGCCTTTGGTGAAATTAAAGGCAGCAAATTTTAAACCAATTTAGCAACCATGTCCAAATTTTTTGCTTTGCTGGCACCTGTAGAGTGTGCCAGCTCAGGCACAGCCTTTAAAATAGAGTTCGGTACTTCCGAAATGGAGGATGTCCTTTTCACTGAATTTTAGATTTGGAAGGGACCATAGAGATCATCTAGTCCAACTCCTGCTGAAGCAGGATTGCCTAGAGCTAGAGCATGTTACTCAGGAGCATCCAGGCGGGGCTTGAAAATCTCCAAGGAAGGGGACTCCACCCCCTCCCTGGGCAGCCTGTTCCAGGGCTCTGTCACCCTCACCGTGAAGAAGTTTCTCCTCATATTTGAGTGGAACCTCTTATGTTCCAACTTGTGCCCGTTGCCCCTCGTCCTCTCACTGGGAACCACTGAAAAGAGTCTGGCTCCCTCCTCCTTCAACCCTCCCTTGAGATACTTGTAGGCATTGATAAGGTCTCCCCTCAGCCTTATTCTTTTTAGGTGGGATAAACGTTGTTCAGAACCTGTCAGTTCATTCTTTGGGCATAAACCAGACACTGTGCCTCTGTCTGCTGGAAAAAAAAAAAAAAACGGCTTCCTTGAAGGAAGATTATTCCATAATTGCCCATTAAGAGGATTTCACACCTTCCTCTGAAGCATCTGGTCCCGGTTGCTGCCGGGGACTGAAACGCCAGACGAAATGACCATCGCTCCCATCTGTCTGGCAGTTCCTTTCCTCCACTTCTCAAATTGTGCTGCGGGGCCTGAAAAACCCATCAAGTGGTCCCCTCCCCGCAGCTCTCAGCGGCCGGTTCGGCTCCTCGCTGTCCTCAGGGGTGAAGGGGAAAGAGGTCAGCAGCTTCAGGAGCAGACTCAACAGACGTACTGTACGTGGGAGTTATCAACCCACCTCGTATGGAAGTTTTAATTTGTACCTACAGGCTCCTTCCCCCTTACTGTGGAAACTGTTGAGGAGCAGGTTGAAGCAGGGCTTGAGATGAAGTCACTTTTCATCCCCATTCTCTGAAGTTCCCTGCAAAAATGTTCAGAAGCTTCTAAAAATGGCAGTGATGGAAAATAGGTACTCTCAGCTATGGGACACTCAGTCAAGCGGTGGCTACCTCGGTGCTCGATGAAGCTTAGCTTTGGAGTGCTCCTTATTCTACAAGTCTCTAGGATTCTGGGATCCACCAGATTCTGGGATTCCTTAATTCTGGGTTTAATTTGTGCACAGGGTGGAGTGTCCTCTTTGAAACTCTACTGTGTGGCTGCATCAGCCCAACGCCGATGTTTGGGCAGCTCTTCCACATCCATGTTCCCTTGTGCTGCTGTGTCCATTCCCAGTCCCACCAACAGAACCCTTCTAGCGAATGAAGGCCCTTCTGTGTGAATCCCCGTGCAGGTTGGCAGCTGTGTGGCCATGTTCCTGCCCGCTGAGTTACAGCCTCATTAGTGGGAATGTTGTAGGGTTGCCTGGAGCTCAGCTCCTCCCCTCCAGCTGCATCAGCCTGGAGACAATCCACGCAGAACTGCTGCCTCTAGATACCTCTCCCTCCCCTAAAGAGCCTTGGCCTTCCTGACACGACCACCCATTCCAGGAGGGGAGGGGACACGCTTTTTTTCTTCCCAGTTAGGTTGCAGGGTCTCCTTCTGCAGCTCATGCTCCTCCTGCCTCTCCACGGCTGTTATTTTCCAGGGGCAGGAGGAGGCAAGTGTGACCGTTGTCCCCATACCCAGGTGACAACACCTCGCTGGGCTCTTCCATCCCCTCTTACGCCTGTCCCACTTCTCCCTGCCCCTGTGGACTCTCTGCTGCCTCTGTGTTTGGGGCAGGTGGGTGGGATGTGCTGAGATCCCGTTCCAAAGAGCTGGACTGGGGTGAGTCCACCTCCCCTGTCCCCTGCCACCACACAGAGGGGGACAAGTGCAGCCCCAGGGAGGGAGCCCAGAGTGGCCCGAGGGATGAAGCCATTCCAGAAGCTGCTGTTGGGAGGCTCGTGTCCCTCAGGTGAATGGCAGCTCTGCCAAATGGTGGAGGATCTCGGCTCCTCTCTTCCTTAATGAGGGTGTGACGCTGAGGTTGTTCTTTTCCACGGTCCCAGGGCTTGCGCTGTGTCATCCCCTGGCACTGAGAGCCAGGCAGGACTTTTCTCTGGGGATCAAGAGCAGGAGAGGAAGCAGGGAGTGGATGGATATTGAACCACAGAATCATTTAGGGTGGAAAAAAACCCTTAAGATCATTGAGTCCAACTATTAACCCAACTTTGTTGCAGAAAAGCAAAAACCAGTTAAATATATATGTATTTCTTAACTTTCCAGTCTCCAATCCTGATTCTTTAAAGCTTGTTTTGGTGTCTTTTCAGTCCTTGAAGCTCAGGCTGATTTTGTGATGGGGCTGGTAGGTGATGCATGAGAAATAAGACGTGGATCTGAGTCTCAGGCCGTCAGGGCTGGGAGAACAATTCGTTCTTTACTGACTTGGTGACAGCTCCTTGCCTCCTTCATTGCCCTTCGGGTACCACTCATGGCAAGGCTAAAGGCAGTCTCCTCTGGTCCTCTTGCAGCAGTCAGTGGCTGTCTCGGCTTTGCCCAAATTCTTGAGCAGCCAAGTAAAGGCAGCAGCAGGGCCAGGAGGAGCAATCCCTGCGGGGGAAGCCTCATGACATGACTTGCTCTGTGCTTGCTCCGTGTCATCTTGTCTCACTCGCTCTCTCCTCCAGAGGGATGACCGCTCTCAGCGTGGTCCTTGCCCCTATTAACTCAAGAAATTGCTTTAATGCAGTAACAGGATTATGCAGTTTGTTCCAGGTGAGGAAACACGTAAGGGAAAAGGTCTGTGTCCCCTTTATCATCCCCATATCCCGGTGACACCCCACGTCCCCTGGATTAAAAATCTCTGCACCTCGTGCAAGATGTACCCAGGATTATTGCAAATGGCAGGGAAATGCTTTGCTCCTGTGTCTTTTCTCTTTGGTCTTTCCATACTCTTCCTCACTGCTGCTGCTGCTCTCTGAATTCTCCACCAGTTTGTTTTCATCACTTCACAAACGAGCGCTGCTGGGGAAAGGCAAGGAGGTGGCTGTAGGAACCCTGACAAATTGGCATCTGGACTTAATGATTGCAGCAACTGAAATCCCTGCTCAACTGTTACTGCTGTTGTTTGGGGTTTTTTTTTTTTTTTTTAAACAAAACCCAAGCAGCTTGTTGTGAAAAAAAAAAAAAAAAAAAAAAGA